GGGTGGGTCTAGCAGAGGTCGGGTGGGTGGTCAGGTGACTCTAGAAACAGTTGGGCACTGGGCTGGCTCGTTAGCAGGGAGCTGGGCCCTTCGTTTGGCCGGAAGGCTCGTTAAAGCTTCATTAGCATATTGGTTGGCCAATTATCTGCTTGGCGGCGGGGAGGGGTCTACGCCCCAGGATTGGGCCAGGTGGAACAACTGGCCTGTTAGTGGGCCACAGCTCATTAGCGGGCCACACCTCGTTAGCGGGGCCCCCCTCCTCGTTAGCGGGGCCGTTCGTTAGCGCTCCCCTTAACGACGGGCGGCCCAGCTTCGCCAACGGTCGCAGCACGGGGCTGGTCCTGGACAGCGGGGCCACCCACACCACGGCCATCCCCGTCCACGACGGCTACATCCTCCAGCAAGGTACCACCAAAAAACCAAAAAGGGGGCGGGGTTAAGGCGGAAGGGGCGTGGCCTGGGGGGGGGAGTGGCCAGGGGAGGGGCGTGGCTAGCTCTCTTACCCCCTTGGTGGCCACCGTAGGCATCGTCAAGTCGCCCTTGGCCGGGGACTTCATCTCCATGCAGTGCCGGGAGCTCTTCCAGGAGATGAACATCGACATCGTGCCCCCCTACATGATCGCCGCCAAGGTAGGAGGGAGGGGGGCGTGGCCTCCTCTGACCACGCCCCCTTCTCGTCGGGAACAGCCTATCAGAAAAAGGGAGAGGGGAGGGATTAAGCTCCACCCCCCTTCATTCACCAGGAGCTTCCCTCAAGCCTCTGGGAGGGGTGGAGCAAGAGGCCACGCCCCCTAGGGGCGGTGCCACGCTTTAGCTCCACCCCCTTGTGGGCGTGGCCACCTCATAGCTCCACCCCCTTGGGGGCCAAACCCTCTTAGTTCCTCCCCCTTAGGGCGTATCCCCTTATTAGCTCCGCCCCCAATGCCCAGCCCTTCCTTTAAGCTCCACCCCTTCCCCTTAGGGTCAATCCCTCCCCTTAGCCCCGCCCCCTTAGGCTCCACCCTTCGTTTAGCTCCGCCCACTATGGGGGCAGTCCTACCACTTAGCCCCGCCCCCTTAGGGCTGATCCCTCCCCTTAACCCCTCCCCCTTGGTGCCATCCCTCCAATCTTAGCTCTGCCCCTTCCCCTTAGCCCCGCCCCTTAGGGCTGACCCTTCCCCTTGGCCCCCCCCCCCTCCCCTTCCCCCCCCCCCCCCTCTGTTCTTTCCAGGCTTAACTTCATTCCCAACTCCTTTGCCTTCTCGCTTGAGTGGGACGGGAGGGATGGCGAATTGGAGTTGTGGTCACTCCATAACTGCGGGTCCTCCCCACTGGCTGCAGTTCTCCATCTGCTCCAGCGTCAATCCTTTCCACAGGGTACAGTCCTTGAGGAATGGACTGCTCCAGTGTGGGTCCCCCACAGGCCACAGGTCCTGCCAGAAAACCTGCTCCACCAAGGGCTCCTCTCCTTGGACAGCAGTTCCTGCCAGGAGCTTGCTCCACCGTGATCCTCCATGGGCTGCAGGTCTATCTATTGTAAAGAAAAAGGCCAGCCCAGAGTGGCTTCTCTGCTGGACCAAACCACACAAAGTCCCAGAGGATGGCTGCTCCTTAGGCCTGTGGGGCTTGAGAAAACTCAGTGTTGATAAAACACCAGTGGTTTGGGTATTACTGAGAAGTGTTTCCACAGTGTCCAGGCCCTCTCTGTTCCTACTCTCCTCCCCCCAAGTGGGAGGTATGAAAGAAGTTGAGAGGGGAGCCAGCCAGGACTGCTGGTCCAAATATACAGGGTGGATAGTCCATACC